AAGGCATAAACGGAACGAGCACCCCTGTGAAAGGCCCTTGGACACACAAGGCACTTTGGGAGAGGAGGTGGGAGGAGTCTGTGTGCGCGAAGGCTGGGGCTGGAGCAGAATAAAGCACACGAGGGAAATTTTTCTTCATAAGGATGAATAATTAAAGTGGAGAGCTCAGTGCCCGGGCCTCACTGTGGCTAATCACTGCAACAGTGAGCAGAGAAAAAAAAAAAAATCAATGGTCAGGACGACATCTGGGGAAGAGGGCTGGCAGGTCCCCATTTGCGGGACATGTGAGAGCCAGTGTGCAGATGCTCAAGGCGACAACTCTTTTGCTCTGGTCTGCAGTGCCCACAAAAATCAAAGGCACCAGGCATGCTGGTAACCTTTGGTAACAACGTCCATGAAAGGGCCAGCAAGGAAGCCTTGGGGAGGAGGTGGTAAATTACCCATTTATAATATAACTGCTCAGGTTGCTTACAAGCCAGGATAAAAGAGAACCCTCCACAAAAGCATCCATCTGGAGCCATCCTAGTCACAGTCCACCCTGAGTCACCAGCACCAGGAGTCAACTCCTTTGCAAGCCTTTTGGGGGAAATGGGGCAGGGACATCATAGCAGTGCAGCTCTAGGAGCTTTATTTGGATTGTGGATGTGGCATGAGAGTATCAAAAAGAATGCATGAATGGTAGGAAATGCTCTGGATAAAACTAAAGACCATTACTTCCAGTCCCTCTGCCATACATAGGATCCATCATTTTTTCCCCCCACAGTAACTAGTACATTGGCTTCACAGGAGCTCAATAAATATTTGTAGAGTAATGGATTGATGCAATCTAAGCACACAGATTCATTCAACCATTCAACAAATATCTACTGATATCACATCCCCGACACTGTTCCGGATGTAAGATAAAATGGGAGAGTGAGCATCGCTGCAAACTCTGGCAATAGGGTGCTTCTAACGTAGTTGCCTTTAACTTTCCTGTAGAGGTAAGGGACTTTCTAGAATCCCAAGGCATTCATTTTAAAAGGGCAGGGGCCATGTTCTTTGTCTAATCAAACTCTGAAAATGGCAAGACGTTAAATAGTTCATGCCTTGAGAATTAGTTAGATAAGAGCTAGAATAAAAGGAGTCTGAAACTGTAGAGAAAGTCAGCACACACATGCTTATCAAAAATTTCAGGTAACATTGATCCCAAGGACAGGTATAACCTCCCCAGGTAAAGTTAGGTCACGTTTATTTTTAGAGACAGCAATCCAAAGATATACTGTTTGCTGGATGCATCTCTCATAATTGACCTTTAGTTTGAGAAACACAGGAATTTTGTGAAAGTGCCAATGACTTTATAGTTTTTATCTTTAATCTATTTATTTATTTATTTATTTATTTATTTATTTATTTATTTATTTATTTATTTATTTATTTATATGCGGTGCTGGTGCTGAGGACTTAACCCAGTGCCTCACACATGCAAGGTAAGCACTCTACCACTGAGCTACACCCCCAGCCCCATCAATCACTCAAGAAGCAAATACTGAAGGAAGTCATGCCTGCCACACTTTGGGGAGATATTGTGGGGAATGAAGAATAACATAAATTATCAACTCTAGCCTCACACATGGATCTTCCGATCTCTTTGGGGAGACAAAATTACTACATGAGAGCTAACTAATACATGACCCAGAGAATTAGGAGCTGAAGGGTTTCCATATGCTTTTTTCCCTTCTCTAAATAATCCATAAAACATATTTATGTCCAGTAAAGAGAAGACTCCTAAAGTACCAGAACTCTCAAATAGAAAACTGGTGGATGAAATTCATCTGCTAACACATACTGAGCCTGAAAACCTTCTCAGCTTCTCTCCCTTTAATTCCTATCCTTGGTGTCTCTTCTGGGGAACTAATGCCCCAATGAGAGGAAAGCTACACTAGAAAGATTTTTACTGGAGAGATTTCTGTTATAAAGAATGATAGTAAGCAAAGACTGAATACATAACAGTGCATTAGCTGTGCAATACTGGGTGGTCACTAAAATAGTCATAATGAGTCAAACCATGAAATAAAGAAAAGCATGAGACTATGCTAAAATAGCATGCAAAACTAAGTTCACTAGGGTTATCACCTTGTGGTCATATCAAAAATATTTACATGTAACACACAAAAAGGAGTTAGGGTTATATACAGTTTTTTATTTTATAATTGAAACAATTCTATAATATTTAAACTGTGCAGAACAGATAACAAGTGCTACAAATATTGAAAGAATGCTTCATGCTAAAGGAGCTAGAGTTTGGCCCTAAAGAGCCCTTTTAAAAAACAACAGATTTTAATAACAGAAAGGAAGAGAATGAATATCCCTGGCAAAGAATATTCTCAGCAAAGGCTGAGAATTTAAAATGTGAATGGCCTCAAGCAGGAATAATGAAGAGATTTGTCTGGCTGGAATAGACTAGGCACTTTGGGGAAATAAAATCAGATAAATAGCCCTAGATAATTTCTTCAAAAATTTGGTTACATCAGAGTGTAACTATTCCTTTCTACTTTCCCCTCTTCAAACTGGTAGGTGTATTTCTTACTTTAGAATCCTACTGTATGGGTCAAATTAACTTTAAAATGATATATCAAAGAGATTGGTTGTTTTCAACATTGGGATAAGATATTGCATTTTATCTTAATTAATGAAAGATGAGTAGTTGAGATCATTTTGAAATAGAAAAGCATTCATAATGGTTATAATTTTTAAAGGAAAGTATCCAATAAAATGTAGGGAAAGAAGAAGAATTGAGCTAGGCAATGAGGCTTATCATTACTGCATAAATATCAAAGCTCTAATAGTTAAATAACATTGAACTTGTAAAAAACTGAAAGAGGAACTCATGGTACAAATTAAAAAGAAGCAGGTTTATTATAAAGGGATTTAGACTAGAATAAAATTGACATGTCAGTCAGAAAATAAAGTTCCTCTTAATAAATGTTAAAGAGACAGTTAAATGTTAGAAAGCAACAAAACAAAGCAACAACATCAACGAATGTTCTTTTTTTCTGGAAAATGTCTCCAGATTTGGTTATATGAAAAGTTAAAAACCTCTGCATGGAAAACACTATAAAAAAGTAAGAAACAAATTAAAAACTTTAAAAATATACATTCTTTATCATCTATGACAGGTAAAGGGTTATTATCTCTAGTGTAATACACGTTTCTCACAAACCAAAAAAGAATATTAATATCTCCATGGGGAAATGGGTAAACAATAAAACAGCAATTTACAACAAATAAAAATAGCCAATAAAGCTTCTGAGCACATTCAGCTTCACAAAGCATAGAAAACAGAGTTTTGGGGAAGAGGTGTCATTGTTATTTAGACAAAAATGGCAATTATAATATGTAATGTTTGAGATCATGAGGGGAAATGAACCCTCTTACACTGTTGGTAATACTTTCATACAGCATTGTGAGAAAGCTATCTGTCAACATGCACCAAGCACTTAAAAAAAAAAAAGTGTAAAACATAGAACACCAAAACAAAGAATTTATTTTTCTGCTCTTCACCCTGCCAAACATACATGAATAAGTTTCTGCCTCTGAGGAATGGTTGGGGTTGAAAGCACAATATACATTTTAGTTATTGAAAAAGAAAAATTACCTTTTGACCACTAAAAATGTATTCGGTAGGTTTTGTTTGTTTGGGGTATATATGCTTTGTTTAGCTAAGAAGATCCTTTTAAAGGTTGCATGCCACCATGTTTATATAAAGTCCTTTTTTTAACATCTGGCTCTAGGAATTTTTAATTTTCATTATTTTATGAGCCATAGGTTATAATTTGTTTTTTAAAAAATATTCAAATAGATGGGACTTTCTAGCTAACTTTGTAGTATTAATTTCTCAATTAAAATTTTACTGTGGTCAGAAATATATGTATAATATCGACTTTTTGAAATTTGTTCAAACTTGTTTGTTTTGCTTAGAGTAATTTATTGAATGTCCCATATGCATGTGAGAATGTAAATTCCTGTACACAGTTCTATATAGGTCCATTAAATTAGCTGGTTAATGGTATTCAACTTCCACATCTTTGCTATTTTTAATCTATTTGACTTATTACAAACTGGGAAAAATGTTTGGAAATCTGAATATCATGTAGATTTTTATATTCCTTTTCTATTCTGTAACAACTTGCTTTATAGGGTGTAAAGCTGTCATAATTCATCAATTCTAAGACACACATTTTCACATTAAACATTTCTGAAATCAATATATCTTACAATTGGTATAATATAAAGACATTGCATCATAGCTTAATTGTAGCAGTTATGCTGTTTATAGTAAAATAATGATAAAATGATGGTAAGCCTTGAAATTGCTGATATCTTAGATTCAGTGAAATAAGACATTTCAACAGGTACATGGAAATTTAGATTTTAAAAAATATCTTTTGGTGAATCAATGGTTTAACATGATTTGGGGTATACTTAACTTGAGGGATGATTTTATCATGAATTATATACATCATATTTATATCCAATAAAATGTAGAGAAAGAAGAAGAATTGAGCTAGGCAATGAGGCTTATCATTACTGCATAAATATGCTAGTCATATATATATGTAAGACTATCCTTCCTTTGTTTGGATGCCATTGCCTGGTACACCCTAAGCTGCTGTGTCCTTACATTTTGTGTATATATTATAAATAGTATATGGTTGGGTTCATTTAAGTTTCCCTCCAACAAGACAATTTCAGTAATTTACTTCCAAGTTTAGTCCAATTATGAGGTTGCAACTATTGATCCAGTTAGATATGTTCTTAGCATTCTAATTTGAAATTTATATTTGTTTTACTTCTAAAGTTTTTTTTATTCTTTTCTGGATAAAAAAAAAATCTCCCCCCCCCCCCCCGCCCCCCACTATTTTCTCTTTGCTGGTTTGGAATTGATATACTTTTTTTTTTTTTGGTGATTTTTTGTTATAACATGTAATTCTTAATGACTTTAAAAATTCACTATTAGAGCTGTGGAAGTAGCTCAGAGGTAGAGTGTTTGCTTACTATGCATAATGCCCTGGGTTCAATCCCCAGTACTACAGCATATATATGCATACATACATAAATCCAACATCCTGACTTAGATAATAGGGTTGACAGTGATTTAGTTCAGTTTTGTCCCATTTGTTTTTCATGAAGAAATCAACTATTTAGATATATGTTTGCCAATTATTTTGTTCATCATTCCTTTAAATCAATTTATAGTTTCCTCCCATTTTTTTCTCAGGTACATACTTCAGAGCTAAAAGAAGATCTGAATTCTTTCCATTTTATCCATACCAGTATTTTTTTTTTAACTTTGCACACATCATTGAAAAATAGTTTGGCTTCTAATGCAATTCTTTTTCTCAGAACTCTGATAATAAAATTCTAGTACCTCATTTTTCCATTCTCATGCTGAGAAATCTGCCTTCTGCCTTCACAGTAATTGCCATTTCTTTGTAGGGAATTTAATTTTCTCTCTAGCTACTTGTAAAATCTTCTTCTTGTCTTTAGTGCTCTGCAGTTTCAATAATTTTGCTTAGATGGAGCTTTTATCATAGATCTTGCTTGGTCTATGATGTAATTCTTTTCCTGTCTTTTCCTTTACATGTTTTTCCCATCTTTACGTCTTTGATCATTTCATATAAATTTGTTTCATATTTCAACTGTGATCACCCTAATGTTAGATGTTATTGAGAGTTTAGCCCTATTTCTTTCATTCACTTTTAAGTGAGATGTCCTTGAGTGTATGGTAATATCTAGATGTGAGCTTATATCTGCCTTTTTCAACCTATGAAAATCTTGACAGCCTAAATTTGTGAAGCTTTCTTCCAGAAAGTACCTGTGCTCAAGGCCTGAGATCACAGGATTAAACTTCAACAATCTAGACTGAATAAAGAAGTTTTTGGTTTACATTCCACATCTTCTGCTGGATCCAAGGCTTTATCTCTATAATTCAATCTCTTGATTTAGAGTAAACATCTTTTCTCTGATTTGAGCTCAGTGTTTTTCTAAAGCATTCCCTCTTCAGTGATTTCTATCTTTTCTAGATTACCCGAAATGTGTTAGTAATAATTTCTTATCTAGAAATAAGGTATACTTCACAGAATTCATGTTGTGGGTATATAATTGGCCATGCTTTCAAATATGCATCTATTATTTTCAAAAATAACTTGCATACTTAAGTTGGTGGGAAACAAATCACTAAATTAAAGGTTAAATTTATCTCAAATCATCACATTTAATTAATGAAAGTTTCCAAAATTATTTTTCATAGATATACTACTGTTTGGCCTTTAAATTTATTTTCTAAAATTATAGCTGAAGATATTCAGAGATGCTTCAGAGTTAAGTTCAGGTGGACTACAGAGTTGCAAGAATACTGCCACATACTCCCAAATTTCAAGATTATATTGAATCCCCACTTTTAATAACAAAGATAAAAATTCTATCAGAAGTAGGGTAGCCACAGAGAATAGGACTGGTACAGTCCAACACAGAACAGTATTTCTTAGTTCTCAGTCACTAGGAAGAATATTCAGTACATTGGAACAAATCTTTGCAAGGCATTTGAAATCTTATGCCTCTGAGAAACACAGATAGGTCCAGGAGGCTGAAACGTATGACCTGGGACTACTTAAAGTGGTGCCCCACTCCTGTACTCCTGCCCCTGACTGTCAATATTGAAAGTTTGGTTGTCTATATCTGCAAAAGAGACTCAGCAAAATAGCAAATGCAGCACAAACTGCACACACACCTGCAGGATTCAAAAATACATACCTACCAGCAGGCGGCAGAGCCTGCTAGCAAGCCACAAGACAGAAAAGAAGATTCCCAGGGTGAGGTCATCACTGGACAGAAGTCATCACTACCCCCTCCTACCCATGGGCTCAATTATCTTGTCTCCACAAAAAAAGCTTCATCCATACAGGCTTGTCAAGATTCCGAAGTTTAAATAACCATCCAGAACGGTGTATTACAACAATATATGTATATACTTCCATTCATGAGAAGTCTCATAGACAAGAACTTTACTATTCTTGGGCAGGTCAAGGAAGTGACCATTACATACCTATACCTAAACAAAAGCTCTTTCTTTCTAGTTTTCTAGAAAGCACACTTATCACAGATTCCCACTAAGATGTGTGTAGCAGTGTGGTTACTGTACGCTATTTGCAGTTGTAAAATAAGGTAAGGTATCTAATTCCGGTTTTGATATTTGACCACTGACAGCTTTTAGGACCCACTACTTCACATTCCTCTTTGCCCCACCTCTGGGAAAGCTGGTAAGACAGGGCGCTCCCTTCCTTGGCACCAGTGAGGAAATTCAAATCACCTCACAAACAAATCACCTCATTTGCACATGGGGAACCCCCTCCTCAGCACCACCTTCTAATCACAATAAAAACAAAAGCCATTTGCTCCTCCTTCACTCACTGGCTTGGATGCCTGCCCTGCTCTCTGTGGAGTCTCATAATTGAGTAATGTATGTTTTCCTGCCCTCTGGATGCATGTGTGGTATCATGAGTCTTGACATTGGGACTGATTTGGGGAGGGGGTGATTGATTCCACCCTTCTGCTGAGCAAACAAAACAACTGAGCCCATGAATAGGAGGGTCTATTGATGACCTCCACCTAGGGAACTTTCCCTTTTGGTCTGCTGGCAATATGCATTTTTGAATTCTGCAGGAGCATGTGCAATTTGAGTGGCATTTTCTGTGTTTTATTATGCCTCTCTTGCAGATATAGCTGATCCTGCAACAGTGCAGGATCGGGGTGCTTCCTTAATCCCAGGTCATATGTATCTTCCTGGACCTTTATTTGAGTCTCAGATCAAATTGCACATCTAAGTTCTAGCATCAACGGTGATTTATGAGAGAGAAGCAGTGGTAATTCTTACCCTGGGACCATTGGTTGCGCCTCAACCAGGCATTGACCCTATTCTATGAGATGTTGATACCCACCCAGGACCCATATGGATGGCAGTCCTAAAAACAACAGTCCACACATGGCTTGCTGAGGTCTGAACTCCTTGAAACAGTAGATGTGCCCATTCCTACATCACCAAAACAAACCCAATCCTCAGTATTATAGGAAAAGGACATCATGCACCTCAGAAAATACTTTTATGAAAAATGTTCTTGAATACACTATCCCTGCTTTTCTTAAAAGACCAGAGAACATCATCACCCTATCAGCACACTGCAAAGTTGACAAAGAAAGACATTGTGTTCCCTGGAGTGATGTGGTTCTTCAACATGACAAAGGGCTAATTCCCTACCTTGATGATACTGAATTGTTACTCTCTGGAGGAAAATAACGTCAGTCTGAGTAGAGAAGATCCACTGAAAATATATTCGGCAACCCACCAATTTTTAAATAAATAAATAAAAGTGAGGGGCTAGGAAGAATTAAAATAGAGACGCAACCCCAGCAGCTCTGGAGGTTTAGGCAGGAGGATCGTGAGTTTAAAGCCAGCTTCAGCAAAAGCAAGGTGTTCAGCAACTCAGTGAGACCCTGTCTCTAAATAAAATACAAAAAAAGGATTGGGGATATTGGTCAGTGGTCAAGTGTCCCTGAGTTCAATCCCTAGTACAAAAAAAGAAAAAGAAATGAAACAACAACAACAAAAAAAGAAAACAGAGACCCAATATTTAAGCCAATTAGAAATCTAAATTTTACTCTAAAAAATATTGATAGAAAAATAAGGAGAACGCAATTGGTTTGTGAACTCTAAACTTTTCTAAACTAACTATAACATATGCTAAGGAGATGTGAAGCCTCTGTGGCCCTCACAGATACAGGAGCTCGAATCCCAGTTCCAGGGATTTAAAGGCACCCCATATTCTCAGGAAAATAGAGGACAATGTGCATGCCTCACCTCAACTTGGAAATACTCCCCTGTCTAAATTCTCCATGGTCTTAGTGAGCATGACCTTAACATAGCTCATAGGTTACAGGGACATCTGACTCAACAACTAATGCATTTAAATAAAATTTAATGTTGGACATTTGAAGTCTGCTTGAAAAAAATGGAATCCTGTGGGACCAAAAAAGGATTTCTCTCTCCAACATCCAGTCAAAATAGTTAAATATGTTCTAATGTAGATTAAAACAGGCTTACAGAAATTAAGACCTGGTATACAAGGAAAGAGTCATTGTTTCTACTGTTCTTCACCTTAATAATGACATTGCTATATGCATTTGTCTGTGTGTGGAGCAGAGGCTTTTATTTTGGTGTCATGGCTCGGATGGTTTTACTTAAACAAAGGTCATGAAGACTTACTCCTATGCTATCTTCTAAGAGTTTTGTACCTTTAGTCCTTAGATTTAGGTCTATGATCACTTTGACTTAATTTCTGTGCATAGTGTAAGAAAGGAGTCAGACTTTTTTCTATTGTATGTGCATGTGTACTGCCCAAACATCATCTCTTAAATAGACTTCTGTTTCTCCTATTGATATATCTTAGAATCCTTGTTAGAAAATCAATTGATTCTTAAATTCTCTGGATTTCCAATTATATTACATTGCTCTATATGATTATCTTCCAGGAGTGTGAAACTTTCTTCATTACTGTAGTTTGGCAAGTAAATTTTCAGATTTGGAAGTATGTGTGTATAAGCTTATCCTCTTTTGCAAGATTCTTCTTGCTACACTAGATCTCTTGCATTTCCATATGAATTTTAAAGTCACCTGTAAATTTCTACAAAAGTAAAAAAAAAAAAAGCTAGTTGAGATTTTGATGATTGTGTTAAATCTGTAGATCAATTTGAGAAATATTATCATTCTAATAACATTGTCTTACATTTCCATATGAATTTTAAAGTCACCTGTAAATTTCTACAAAGTTAAAAAAAAAAAAAGCTAGTTGAGATTTTGATGATTGTGTTAAATCTGTAGATCAATTTGAGAAATATTATCATTCTAATAACATTGTCTTACAATCCATGAATGTGGGATGTCTATTTTTTATGTTTTCTTAATGTTTCAGTAATATTTTTCATTTATCCTGTTAAATCCATTACTACTTACTTTATAAATTTATGCACTATTGTGAATCA